AAGTCCAAAATTAAAGCATGCCACCACTGATCTCCGGAGCAGTGGAAATGTATTCTATGGAGTGACGAATCACACTTCTCTATCTGGCAGTCTGATGGACGAGTCTGGGTTTGGTGAATGCCAGGAGAACATTACCTGCCTGACTGCATTGTGCCAACTGTAAAGTTTGGTGGTGGAGGGATGATGCTATGGGGTTATTTTTCAGGGACTGGTCTAGACCGCTTAGTTCCAGTGAAGGGAAACCTTAATGCTTCAGCAGAGAAAGACATTTTGTACAATTCTATGCTTCCAACTTTGTGGGAACAGTTTGGGGAAGAACCTTTTCTGTTCCAGCATGACTGAGCCCCAGTGCACAAAGCAAGGTGTATGAAGGCATGGCTGGTGTGGAAGAACTTGACCGGCCCCTCACAGAGCCCTGACCATCAAACAGCTTTAGGATGAACTAGAACAGAGACTGTGAGTCAGGCCCTCTCGTCCAACATCAGTGTCTGACCTCACAAATGCTCTTCTGGATGAATGAGCAAAAATTCCCACAGACTCAAACTCTTGTAGAAATCTTTGTGGAAGCTGTTACAGCTGCAAAGGGGGGCCAACTCCATATTAATGCCTATGGATTTACAACCCCATTTCCAAAAAGGTTGGGACGCTGTGCAAAATGGAAATGAAAACAAAATGCAATGATGTGCAAATCATTTAAACCCTGTATTTATTTGAAAATAGTACAAACACAACATATCAGATGTTGAAACTGAGAGATTTTATTGTTTTTTGAAAAATATATGCACATTTTGAATTTGATGGCAGCAACACGTTTCAAAAAAGTTGGGACAGGGGCCTGTTTACCACTGTGTTTCATCCCCTCTTCTTTTAACAACATTCTGTAAGCGTTTGGGAACTGAGGAGACACTGCTGTAGTTTTGAAAGTTAAATGTTTTCCCATTCTTGTTTGATATAGGATTTCAGCTGCTCATCAGTTTAGGGTCTTCTTTGGCGTATTTCTCATTTTGAAGTGCCAAATGTTTTCAGTCGGCAGGTATGGACTGCAGGCAGGCCAGTTTAGCCCTATTACTCTTTTACTACAGAGCCATGCTATTGTAATATGTGCAGAATGTGGTTTTACATCATTTTGCTGAAATTAACAAGTCCTTCCCTGAAAATACATGATTTGCAAAAAGAATTTAAAATGTTGATTTGTCAAACCAACATTTTAAATTCTTTTTGCAAATCATGTATCAGGACACTTTTCCTCTTTGCCTCAGTCCATCTCAAATGAACTCCAGCCCAGAGAAGGTGGCAGCGTTTCTGGGTCCTGTTTATGTATGATTTCTTTTTTACATAGTAGAGTTTTAACTTGTATTTGTGGATGCATTGATGAACTGTGTTCACAGACAGTGGTTTTCAGAAGTGTTTCTGAGCCCATGCAGTGATTTCCTCTACAGAATCATGTCTGTTTTTAACGCAGTGCTGCTTGAGGGCCCAAAGATCTTTGCTAGCCAATATTGGTTTTCAGTGTTATTCTTTGCATACAGAGATTTCTCCAGATTCTCTGAATCTTTTAATGTTATTATGTACCGTAGGTGATGAAAAGCAAAAGTTCTTTGCTATTTTACATTGAGAAACGTTATTCTTGAATTGTTGCACTATTTAATCGCGCCGTCTTTCACAGAGTGGTGACCTCCTCCTCATCTTTCTTCTGAAAGACTCAGCCTCTCTGAGACGCTCATTGTCTACCCAGTGATGTTACTGACCTGTTGCCAATTAACCACCAGGTTTTTTTTTTATGCATTACACAACTTTACTAGCCTTTTGTTGCCGTCATCCCAACTTTTTTTGGAACGTGTTGTTGGCATCAAATTCACAACATGCGAATATTTTTCAAAAAAGCAATAAAATTTCTCAGTTTTAACATTTGATATGTTGTCTTTGTAATCTTTTCAAATAAATACAGGATTTAAATGATTTGCACATCATTGCATTTTGTTTTCATTTACATTTTGCACAACGTCCCAACTTTTTTTGGAAATGGGGTTGTAGAATAGGATTTTATAAAAGCTCATGTGTGTCCCAATACCCATATAATGTCCACATAATGTGTGTGTGTGTGTGTGTGTATGTGTATATATATATACATATATATATATGTATATACATACATATGTATGTGTGTATATATATATACATATATATATATATATATATATATATGTATATGTGTGTGTGTGTGTGTGTCTGTGTGTGTGGGTGTAAATTTGTTCTGATTGGCTGCCTTGTATTAGGCCTCATTAAAAAAGGAGATCAGGCTGAAACACTCCTTGTAATTTCAATGTAAATAGGTGGGGCTAAACTGCTGTAGGCTAAACAGAAGGATATATGGAAATGTCTGTGTTTTAATGACATGACAAACACAATGAATTCAAATCCAAAGCTGAACTGGAGAGTGAACCGTACATTATGATACTTATTATTTACACCCTACGGCAAACTTCTTTATTCCACAGATAATCAGCACAGCAAGACATAAGACACATCACTCTTTGTGATTTGTAATTTCCTCTGCAGGACATTTTACCTCAGCTACCATATTCCTGTCACTCTGAAGCACACTGCTACTCATAACATAACTGAACTGCCCAACCCCACACCTGTAGTGACGTCATCAAAACCATCGTCCAACACAAGTTTCCGCAATCCATAGATTAATTCTCCCAAACAGGATTTTAGGCCCCGGTGCAGACACCATCAAGGCTAAAGCTAATATCTGCATGATAATGCAGTGATATAATGTAAAATATATGAGATAAAAAAGTATGAACCACAACTGACAGCTCGCTGTTTGTGAATATAAAGGGAATTTTAAGATTTTTCAAAATGGCCAGTGAGTCTAGCTACAACATAGGTGTTTCTAATAAACTGGTAACTCTGTGCATATACACCTGCATTAAAAGGAGGTTTCGGCATATTTAAATGGTTGAGTTGTAAACTAAATGGTGGTTTGGTGTGAAATGCTCCATTCTAGAGAAACTTATCAAGTCAGAATTGTTCACAGTGGTGGTGATAGGAACCAGACGTTTAAAGAGTTTAACTGCTTCTAAAAACTCCCTCACAGAAAGATACAACATGAAACAGTTACAAATACGCTGACTGGTGTCGGAGACATTGCTTTACGGTAGTTTGTTGTAAGATGTTCACTTAAATCATGCTTTTTAAAAGCAATGGCAGAGAGGCACACAGGGCACGTGAGACAAAACAGTCCAGAAAGAATATTACATATTAAACTGAAGACACATGTAGGTTCTCTGGTGGTTTTGGATAGCAAATAAAATGGCTATATTTGTCTAGTAGACATTGCGACCCCTGGTTCCCATCACCACCACTGTAAAGACATCTCAATAAGTCTGTGAGTTCCTCTACAATGAACCATTTCACATCAAACCACTCTAAATGACTCTGTTCACAACTTGGTAACAAAATAATGCAGAAATTTAAAAAAAATACGTGGAATTCTCCTTCAAGCCTCCTCCATCAAAGAATCACTGAGATTAGAGTGTATTGTATCATGAAATCAACACCTGTGCTTGCACATATAACTGTAATACCAGCATACACAGCTCTAGTCATGTCAGTATTAAAGGGAACTCCACCGAGTTTTCAAAATTTCTGCAATATTAAATGGTTGGATGTAAACTAAGTCATTCAGAGTGGTTTGGTGAAATCTGAGACACTGTTTTATGGTAGTTTTGTGATAAAAGTTTGGCCTAAAATGTATTTTAATCAATTAATTTTAATCTATTAACGGTGAAGGATGTTCTAAGGCAAAATAGTCCTCAACAAAAACTTATTTTTTTTCAGATTCAGATTATTTTACCATTTTTACCATTATTACCATTATTTTGGATAGTAAGTAAAATAGCTGTATTTGTGTTGTAGTCATGGTGACCCCTGGTTCCCATCAGCACCACTGTAAAGTAATTTGAATCGGCAAGTTTTTCTACTATGAACCAATTAACCCCAAACCACTCTGAATGATGTATCTTACATCTCAACCACTGAATTATGCAGACATTTTTTTTAAAATCGCTGGAATTCTCCTTTAAGTTACACCACAAACTCCAGCACCCCCCCCCCACACACCCCTCCTCCCTCCACCCCTTTAATTCTGCAGCTTCCTTTACAAGCTCTGAGCTCTTCTAGCTGACATCATAGCGACTGTGCATCTCTCGAAAGTTCATTTCCTCTGCAGTGCACGTCGTGCAAATGTGTAGGCACCGTCCACGCGCCCAGGTGATGCTCCCCTCCTCCTCCACGCCCCTCTCTGCAGTGGGCTTGTCCCACGCACGAGGACACCGCTTTTACACCCATGATAAAGATATTTTAACCCCCCTTTTTTGCGGCTGCACACTAGAAAAATCATCAGTGGGCGTTTTCCCGCTCACTGCTCGTGCACGGGCGACTGAGTTAAATCCGTGTCCTTCCCGCGTGCCCGGGCTGGCAAGGGTGGAGGGGGGGGTGCGCGAGAGACGCACCTTTCCATGCAGAAACTTCCAAGCACTGCAATGCAGAAGGCGCGTGCGCGCACGAGCACACCGCCGCTACTTTTTCCCCCTCTGCACGAGCGCAAAGCTCTCAGACTAAAACCTGTACTCGAGCGAGGAGACTTAAAAAAAAAAAGATCAAAGCACCTTTTTTACACTGCATTTTCACGCGGGATGGATATTAGCAGTGCTGCAATGTGCGCGCGCGCCTTTCAGACGCTGTGTTGCATTGCATCGCTTCGCACCTCACCGCACTTCACGAAGCTGAAGTCAGCCGGCTTCTTGTTAGAATTTCACCGGTCCACCTTAAATGGTGCTGCATTTAAGGTGGAACGGGGAAATTCGAGCAAAAAGGCGGCGAATAGGAAACTGACTTTAGCCTCGTTCGCACTTTACTGTACTGCATTGAACTGCATGACTGCAAAAAAACCCCAACGCTACTTATTAACGCGATTTCTCCGGACTTACGTGACGAGCAGTGATGGAGGGCGAGGAAGAGGAGGATGAAGCTGCTGCTGATGATCCCCATCTTCATCCTTCGCGGTGCACGCGGGCTGTCCAGTGCATCAGATTAGCAATTGTCCTCTGCTTTTTTTCTCCTCGCCGCAGGGCATTTTCCGAGCCACCTTCCCGGATAACTTTACCTCCAGCAGCCACAACTCTCTTCCCCCACCTCTCTTTCTCTCTTCTCTCTCTCTCTCTCTCTCTCTCTCTCTTTCCCAGGCGCGGGGGCGCGCATCCGTGTCTGCGCTTGCGGCGGGAGCGCGCACAGCCGCTCTAGATGTCGACGCGAGTTTTAAAGAAAGCTTTGTGTTTGTAATGGGGTGTGAAAGCTGTCATTCAGTCTCACCCGAGCTGCTGCTTGGTCCCACTTTAACAGCCGGGCTTTAGGGTGTCAGGGTGGGGGAGGAGGGGAGAGGGGTGAAGAGAGGCTGAGAGTGAAGGAGAGAGAAATAAAGAAACTTTCCTGGGCTTTGCTCGCTTCTTTCAGCATAAACTTCCCTCACTTAACACCTCTCTTATGTGTCCCCCGTGTGCCCGCAGATTTGATGGTACAGTCCAATTTCCATCGGGGCTCTGCAAACCGCATTGCCCCGCCCACCCCAGGTAGGAACGTCATTGGCTCCCAGTGGCCTTATTTACATTCATGGAGGATGAGAAAGGCAACAGACGCAGCAGTGCTGCTGGAGTTTCTATACACTGTGTCCACTCACTGTCCACTCTTTTAGGAACTCCTATCTTATTGGTCCTGAGAGCTCATCTGTTGCTGCTCAGTTGATGTTGGTCATCCTCTAGTCCTTCATCAGCGGTCACCGTCTCAATAGACAAACGCTGGCAATAGAATGGGTCGTACTGATGAGCTCAGTGACTTGAAACAAGGCAGCGTCACAGGATGTCACCTCTGCTACAAGTCAGCTTGTGTTCTGTCCTGCTGGATCTGCCTCTGTCAACTGTAAGTGCTATTATAGTGAAATGGAGGCATCTAGGAGCAACAGCAGCTCAGCCACGAACCGCGTGGCGAGTGCTGAAGTGTACAGCACCTATACTCTGTTAAATCACTCACTCAAGAGTTCCAAACTGCCTCTGGAAGCAACATCGGCAAAAGAACTGCATATTAGGAGCTTCACAAAATGGGTTTCCTTGGCCGAGCAGCTCCACACAAGCCTAAGATCAAAATGCACAATGCCAAGCGTCGGAGGGAGTGGAGTGAAGCACGTCGCCACTGGACTCTGGAGCAGTGGAAGCGTATTCTGTGGAGTGACAAATCACACCTCTCTATCTGTCAGTCTGATGGACTCCATGCATCTCCATGCATCACATGCAATGCAATGTTTTTAATTAAGTCTGTATGGCAACGTGTGTATTTAGCTTTTTGTGGGGACCAGATATATCTCCAGGATAAAGAAAAGTAGGATATTTTGTCATTAAGGGGAATTTGGGTGCTCTCTACGAGAAAAAAAACACAGCTCTTATTGTATAAAGTAAGGCCAAAGCTGATCTTTTGGTTGCCAAGTTGACGGTTACAGTCGGGTTAGATGGAGCACAGCAACACATGGAACAACCCCACAAAGACAGGAATACAAACGCTACGGTGTCTGGCTGTGGGGCGGGGAAAAGTGAGATTTGCAGTGCACTAGGCGAGTGAGGCAGTCTGGCCATGATTCCAGCTTGTAAAAGGCTTTGGGCTTAAGAAGTGGGTTTGTGGGGCAGAGGCAGGAGCTCAGGTCAGATTGGGTGCCCAGGAGCATCGTGGGATTTGCGTTGTTTCCAATCAAATTGAGTTTTGTTTTTTTTTCCATAAGCCTCCACCCTCCCACTCCCCTAACCAATATCCACCAATGGATGTGATAGCATATGCGATCAGCGGGGCAGTGGGGGGTTGTGATGAGAGTGGGGGCTTTAAGGGATTTATCTTCGTTTGTAATACACTACTGCTGCCTCTGCCAAATCATTCTGAATACAATCGCATGCTTTATGCTTTTTAATCCTGTGCACCAGTTCTGTATTATAGAAAACCTCCCAGCTAGATCCTGTGCTGTTTGTGTTTGCTGCTGTGAGCAGGTCATGGTCAAGGTAAGGAGAAAACATCATGACCAAGGGTCAGGGATTGTTCCTTTCAGAAATAGGCACTATAAAGCTCAAAGGCAAATGATGCTTCTTTGAATGTCTTGTACAATTCACACATATATATATATATATATATATATATATATATATATTTTTAATATTATATATAAAATACCTGTTTCCTATATGTATTGTATAAAGTACCTATATATGTACAGCGTTGAAATGTACCTTTAAATAAACCAGAATTACACACAGTCTGAACATACACAGCAGCCTATTACTCCACCCACATTGTCAAATCCATCTGATCACCATCTGTTTCCTTGACGACCTGTCCCTCCAGTGCCCTGCGCCTCTGAGAGAAAACGTCCAAATGTGGGCCAGCTGGGACGTCCAGCGCTGGTCGCAGATGTTCTCTTTGTTACAGAGATAGGTCACTTCTGCATGCGTCCACTGATGGTTAGTAAGTGTGGTTGAAAGCTGTAAAGTAGAAGTTTTAACACTTTGAAAGCTCACAGGGTTGAGACCCTTTTGAACCTGACTACATTTACATTTACATTCATAGCATTTAGCAGATGCTTTTATCCACACAAATGTGCTTTGTTTCCCACTCAGACCGTGAATCCAAGCTTGTCCATACAGGTTAGAGTCCAAACTACGCTAAGACACTGCCAGAAATAAGAGTCAGTGCTGACACCCAGAAAGAAAGATACACAAACAGAAAAAAGACATTACACAAGAGCAACACAAGACGTTTTACTAAGTGCAAGATTAGTGTTCATTTAAGTGCCTTGGGAAGAGATGGGTCTTTAGTTGGCATTTGAAGACAGTGAGGGACTTTGCTGTTCGGACATCCAGTGGAAGTTAGTTCCACTGTGTGGATTCCAGTATAATATCTTACCTAGATTTTTCCTTTTTTCTACAGCAAACGGGTTTTGGGCAGCAGAAGGCGGACATTACTGCTAGAGCGTGATGATTGATTGGCGAGCGGAGCAGCTCATTGGTTGTTCGCAATTACTGATGTCATTGACGTACATGAGCCGCTGTTTTAAACTCCTATAACTCGAGTTTAAAAGCTCTTAAAAATATAACAGCAGTGTTTAAATGTTTTATGCTGTTCCGTGTTCAGGAAATGATTGTATTTTACATTAAAATGTTTCAGCATTTATAAACTATGATTTTGCTCAAATGCTCCATATCAACCCCTTCATTTTGGACTCACCCGGGAGCGCCCTCTAGTGTTTGAGAAAACTGGAAGACATTGCAGAGTGGGAATTCTCCCCATACAAATTTTCTGGTAAGGTTAGCTAATTTTGCCTAGCTAGGTAATGCTAGCTTTCAAATGGCATGCTAACTTGCATAGCACAACCTGTACTAACATAAAACAGGATATTTAAAAATGACTTTTTTGTCATATGTATTATTATATAGCAGAAACTTTCACTTTTGTAATTGTGCTTTTCTTTGTAAGTATCTAATTACCACTGCTATGATATTTTCAGCTATCCAGTCGATTTGTAGTCTCATGTTAGCACCAAGCTAACTGTGCTGTACACTCACTTTCCTACATTGAGTTTATTGTTATACAGCTCAAGCTTAAACACTGACCTTTGGAGCTTGTAAGACACACATGTAGCACATTTTTACTATATTGCAATTTTTAAGTGAATCTTCTGGGAAATACTTCAACATAAAGCCTAACTATGAGTACTAGTAGAGGAGGCTGTTAGCCTGTTAGCTTGTTAGCTTTTGATAGAATAACTGAAATGAAACAAATTCATTGTTAGGAGGTGTGAAATGTATTTAAGATGCAATTTAACAACAATTTAATACAACTGCTGTTTTAATATGTATGTGCATGTATACAGTAAAACATAGCTCAATATGTCATTACTGTAAACAAACCCTGCTGAAACAACAATAGAAACCTGGTTAGAACCTCATTTTGTGATGTGTTTTGGCTTTTTTGATGAGCTGATATCACAATGTAAAGCATCCTAATGGTCCAACAGGTGACCAATGGCTGATTCAAAAGGCATTTGATGGTTTCCTCATAGGATCTAAAGGTGTTCTACAAGAAACTAGGTTCTAATTCTAATGGTTTCTAATGACCCTTTTTCAGCAGGGAACAAAGAGTGTGAATGCTGTACATAACGAATATTAATAAATGAATAATAAACACTTGACAGAGTATGTTTTTAGAATTCAAACACATAGTTCCTAGCTTCAAATCAGCCAAATAATAAGTAACAAAAATAACTTGTACATTACAGATAGTTCTGGTTCTGATTGGCTGAACCATGTTCGAAGGCCTCTGCGCTAAAATGGCTCTTCACACCAGCTCCTTTAACAGCGTAATCTCATCATCCTGTAAATGCCTGCATGACTCATGTTGCTCATCTCTCATTCATTACTGCTGAAAAGTGAAGTACTGAAAGCGCTGTAAGTCTGTAACTGCTGTTAGGAGGCTTCTGATTCATGTTACACCAGAGCATTAATGCCCCCACAAGCTCAGTGCTGCACTTTAGTGATCAAAGGTAAACTGCTATTTTTGTCTGCCTGTAAGGCACCAAATTCATCCTCATAGGCCAAGCCTGTGATATTCCTGCCAGTACAGGCACGACTGAGCAGTCAGCAGATTTCTCAGCAAAGTATCACTGCTGGCCAGCACTCAAAGACATTTGCTGTAGGTATAATTCTGAAGCCAGATTTGTAGGCTACTGACATCTGGTCTGAAATGGTTTGAGACGGAGGTTACTGATTCAATATGAGTTGAATAATTGCCAAAGTTTAAATAAAACCAATGGGAATTAATCAGGGTTTCTGTACATTATTAACTACAAAAGAGTAATGGGTATGATTTTAAGGATATGATTCCAATATCATTCAGATATAATTTGTATACTGTTGTGGAATCATATTGAGTAATCATTAATTATCCTGGGATACTTGATTGAAAATTATTATTTGAATATGGTACATGTGTCATTTTTTTTTAAAGTTTTAAGATTTAACTTACATTCTTCTAATTTAATGTTAGCTAGAATGATCTGATTATGATTTGATTATATCTGGTTGAATGTTTGAAGGGTAGATTATCTTTGCACAAACATAGCCTTGAGCTTCCTGAGCTGTCTGGGATGGAT